GGGGGGGGCTGGTCCCGCTTTCCCCCTTTTCCCTTTCTTTTTTTCTTCTGTTTTTTTTTTTCCTCTCTTCTTTCTCCTTTTTTCTCCTCATTTTCTCATCGTTTCTTCTTCCTCTTCTTCTTCTTTTGTCCTTTATTCCTTCTCCTTTCTTCCTCCTTTCCTCCTCCTTTTCTACTCTTTCCCCCTCCCTTTCCCCTCATTTCCCCGATTTTTCCCTGACTTTTCCTCTCCTTTCCTCCTCCTTTCCTTTTTCTTTTCCCTTCCTTTTCCCCTAATTCCCCTGATTTCCCCTGATTCCCCTGATTTCCCTGAATACCCTCATTCCCCTGATTCCCCGATTTACCCTGATTCCCCTGATTTCCCCTAATTCCCCTGATTTCCCCTAATTCCCCTCATTCCCTGATTCCCCTCATTTCCCTGAATATCTCATTCCCCTGATTCCCTAATTCCCCCTGATTCTCCCTGATTTCCCCCAATTCCCGTCATTCCCCTGATATCCCCTCATTCCCCTGATTTCCCTCATTCCCCTTATTCCCCTGATTTCCCCGGATTTCCCCTAATTCCCCTCATTCCCCTGATATCCCCTCGTTCCCCTTATTCTCTAATTCCCCTGATATCCCCTAATTCCCCTCATTCCCCTGATTCCCTTGATCCCCCTGATTTCCTCTCATTCCCCCTCATTCCCCTGATTCTCCCTGATTTCCCCTGATTCCCCTGATTCCCCCTCATTCCCCTCATTTCCCTGATTTCCCCTAATTCCCGATTCCCCCTAATTCCCCTGATTTCCCTGATTTCCCCTCATTCCCCTGAATTTCCATGACCCCCCCGATTCCCGATTTTCCCTAATTCCCCTCATTCCCCTGATTTCCCCTCCTTTTCCCCTCATTTCCCCTGACCCCCCTGACCCCCCTGACCCCCCCGACCCCCCGTGACCCCCCTGACCCCCCGTGACCCCCCTGACCCTCTCTGACCCCCCTGACCCCCCCTTCCCACCCTTTTCCCCCCGTTTTCAGGGATGTCCGTCCCGGAGGAGACGCTGCTCGTTGTCGAGCACCGCTACGTGTGCTCCGAGTGCTCCCACCTGTCCCCGTCCCTGGAGGAGGCCCTGCTGCACCACCAGCACCACCTGGGCACCCCCTCCCAGCCCCCCCAGCCCCCCCAGCCCCCCCAGAACCCCCGCTCCCAGCTGGAATTCCTGGCGGAGCCGGAGCCCAGCCAGTACCAGTGCCTGGAGTGCGGGACGCTGCTGGTGACGCCGGGGCAGCTCCTCGAGCACCAGGAGCTGCACCTCAAGCTGCTGGGGGCCACCAGCGAGCCCCCGACCCCCCCGGCCCCCCTCACGGCCACCAAAGTGGCCACGGTGGCCACGGGCTCGGCCGGGATCCACTTCGAGTGCCCCGAGTGCCGCGCTCTCTTCCAGAGCCAGGACTCGTGGCTGGCGCATCGCCAGGGCCACCGCGGCCTCACCGGCATCCCCAGTGTCCCCAGTGTCCCCTCGGGGCCGGGCCAGGCCCGGGTGGACGTGGAGCACTCGTATCGTAAACCCGAGGACGGCGAAGCCGAGCCCGGCGGTGCCGGCGCCGGGGGGGATCCGGTGTCGGTGCCACCGGGGGCAACCGAGTCGCTGCAGCTGCTGCTCTACGAGTGCGGGGAGTGCCTGCAGCTCTTCCAGAGCCCCAAGGACTTCCTGGAGCACCAGGTCACCCACCTGGCCGTGCCGCCAGCGCCCTCGGACGCTCCCGCGGCGGCGGAACCGGCAGCACCGGTGCCGCCGTCACCGGATCCGCCGGAGCTTCGGTGCCCCGAGTGCCGCCAGCTCCTTCCCTCTGCCCGCGCCCTGGGTTCCCACCTCCGTTGCCACCGCCTGGGCGCCTTCGGCTGCCCCCTCTGCAGCCGGGTGCTGCCGTCGCCGTCGGCGCTGCGGGAGCACCAGCGCCAGCGCCACGCCCGCGACGGCCGCTTCCTGTGCCTGGAGTGCGGCGCCGCGCTGGACACCGAGGCGGCTCTGGCCGCCCACGGCCGCGGGGCCCACGGCGGGACGGGGGGGTCCCTTCACCGCTGCGCCTGCGGAAAGGCCTTCGCCAGCATGACCAAGTTCCTCTACCACCGCCGCTCCCACGGCGGCGGCAACGCCGGCGTTGGAGGCGTTGGGATCATCTCGGCGAGCCCCGAGGCGGCCGAGGCGGCCGCGGAGGCGGCGGCCGAGCCGCTGGCGTGTGGCCTGTGCCCCAAGTCGTTCCCCGGCGCGGCGGCGCTGGCGCGGCACCGGCGCTTCGTGCACCGCGCCGAGCGCCGGCACCGCTGCCCCGACTGCGGCAAGAGCTTCAAGAAATCCTCCCACCTGCGCACCCACGTGAGGTCCCACACCGGGGAGAGGCCCTTCCCCTGCCGCGAGTGCGGCCGCGGCTTCCACAGCCGGGCCAACCTGCTGCGGCACCGCCTGGTGCACTCGGGGGAGAGGCCCTTCGAGTGCGAGCTGTGCCACAAGCGCTTCGCCCAGAGCTCCACGCTGCGCCAGCACCTCGGGACGCACCTCAGGAGGCTCCCCCACCGCTGCCCCGAGTGCGGCCTGCGCTTCCCGCGCCCGCACCGGCTCCTCCTGCACCGGGCCCTGCACACCGGGGAGTACCCGTACAAGTGCCCCCAGTGCGGGAGATCCTTCCTGCTGCGCAGGTTGTTGGATGTTCACCTCCTGGCCCACGCTGGCGGGCAGCCCTTGGTGTGCCAGGGGTGTGGAGGGGCCTTTGCGTCGCCCACCAGGCTGCGGGAGCACCGGTGTGGTGGTGGAGGAGGAGGAGGAGGAGGAGGAGGAGGGAAGAGGTTCGAGTGCGGCGTGTGTGGGAGGAAGGCGGGCACGGCGGCGCGGCTGCGGGCGCACGAACGATCCCACCTCCCCCCGGGCACCCAGGACGCGCCAGAACTCCAGGAGGGCTCCGTGGAGGTGACAGAAGTGGTGGAATCCACCCCGGGCCCGGCCCGACCTCGCCCCAAAGGCACCAAGAGCCTGGAGTGCGGCGAGTGCCGGAAGCTGTTCAGCACCGAGACGTCGCTGTCGGTTCACCGGCGCATCCACACCGGGGAGAGGCCCTACCCCTGCCCCGACTGCGGCAAGGCCTTCCGCCAGTCCACCCACCTCAAGGACCACCGGCGCCTCCACACCGGGGAGAGGCCCTTCCGCTGCCCCGACTGCGGCAAGGCCTTCGCCATCGCCGTGCGCCTGGCCGAGCACCGCCGCATCCACACCGGGGAGAGGCCCTACGGCTGCCAGCACTGCGGAAAGAGCTACCGCAGCTTCTCCAACCTCTGGAAGCACAGGAAGATGCATCGGGACAGGGGGGAAGGGGCTGGGGGTGGAGGAGGAGGGGGGAACCCCGGGGCGGGGGGGAACACCAGTGTGGGGTCAGGGAACCTTGGGGTGGGGTCTGGGAATCTTGGGGTGGGAGCAGGGAACCCTGGGGTGGGGTCAGGGGTTGTTCTGGTCCCAGAGAACGTTGGGATGGGATCTGGGACCGTCCTGGTCCAGGAGAACCCTGAGATGGGGTCAGGGAGCCCTGGGGTGGGGTCAGGGGTTGTCCTGGTCCAGGAGAACTCTGGGATGGGGTCTGGGAACCCTGGGGTGGGATCTGGGACCATCCTGGTCCAGGAGAACCCCGGGATGGGGTCTGGGAACACCAATATGGGGTCAGGGAACCTTGGGGTGGGGTCAGGGAACTCTGGGGTGGGGTCTGGGGTTGTTCTGGTCCAGGAGAGCTCTGGGATGGGATCTGGGACTGTCCTGGTCCAGGAGAACCCTGGGATGGGGTCAGGGAACACCAATATGGGGTCAGGGAGCCCTGGGGTGGGGTCAGGGGTTGTCCTGGTCCAGGAGAACGTTGGGATGGGGTCGGGAATGACCAGGGAGAACATTGGGGTGGGGTCAGGGAACATTGGGGTGGGGTCAGGGAACTCTGGGATGGGGTCTGGGAATCTTGGAGTGGGGTCTGGGACCATCCTGGTCCAGGAGAACCCCGGGGTGGGATCTGGAACCGTCCTGGTCCAGGAGAACCCTGAGATGGGGTCAGGGAACCTTGGGATGGGGTCAGGGGATGTTGGAGTGGGGTCGGGGAACCTTGAGGTGGGATCTGGGACCATCCTGGTCCAGGAGAACGTTGGGATGGGATCAGGGAATCTTGGGGTGGGGTCTGGGAACTCTGGGATGGGATCTGGGACCGTCCTGGTCCAGGAGAACGTCGGGATGGGGTCGGGAATGAGCAGGGAGAACCTCGGGGTGGAATCAGGGAATCTTGGGACGGGCTCAGGGAACCCTGGGGTGGGGTCAGGGAATCTCGGGATGGGATCTGAGAACCCCGGGACGGGATCTGGGACCGTCCTGGTCCAGGAGAACCCTGGGATGGGGTCGGGAATGACCGAGGAGAACGGGAACGTGGGATCGGGGAATCCTGGGATGGGCTCGGGGACCCCCGGGGGGGGATCAGGGCCTGTCCTGGTCGGGGGGAGTCTGGATTTGGGGTCAGGG